ATGGCCAGTCCTCTTGCATCTCGGAGCTCATGTTATTCTGCTTTCTAGGACACCTACCTTCATCACTCTGCAGCACTCCAAACACTCTCTTCAAGGCCTGTCTAAGCTCCATTCTGCAGTCCCTGGGGTCTGTGTCTCATAGGTGAACACCCAATAATCATCTCTAGGCTGGTCTGTGGGTTCCATCTCTTTAGCATTAACTTTGGTTCACCCTACAATTCTGTGCAATCAGAGTAGGCACTGAATTTATTAAATGGTGACAATTTGCAGGTCAGAGGGATGGAGGAGGAAGGGCGAGCCATGACAAAGCCCTGCCCCCAAACACTTCTTGGATCAAAATGGCAGGAGGAACCAGATCCTCACAGTACCACGGGTCCGAGTTTTAGTGCAACCATGTCCTAGACAAGAGCAGGGCTGGGAGAGACTATGGTCAGTGTGGTTGCTCAAGAAAGGCGTCCTGGGAGAGGATGAATCCCACTCATTAATTCAGAAAACATCTGCTGATGTTCTGGTCTCTACATGGAAGAGTTAAACTCCATAGAATGCACTTATTTCCTGGAGCCATTAGAACAAAGTACCTCACACAAAGTAACTAAGCTCCTAGAGGCCAAAAGACGGAGCTGACCACAGGGCAGCTACCTCTACAAGCACTTGGGAAAGACCTGTTCCACGCCTGCCCACCTCCGAGCTTCTGGTGACCTCAGTGTTTCTTGGCTTGTAGACGTCTTACTTCCTCTTCATGGAGGGTTCTCTCCCTCCATAAGTGTCCATCTTTGTGTTCAAATGTCTTCATTTAGGAGGAGTCATATTGGATTAAGACCAACCCTACTGACCTCATTTTAATGTGGTTGTAAATACCCAATTTCCAAATAAAGTCCCCTTTCAACACACTGTAGGTTAGGATTCCAGCATGTGTTTTGGAGAAGCACAAGTCAACCCAAACCAGAGATGCAGAAAGACACTGTGAGTTCAGAGGACGCTCATGCTGTGATGTGCCTTCAGGAAAGGAAACCAGTCACTCCAGTGAAGCTGAGCTCAGCCCACAGGGGATGGGATGGTGGGGACTGGCGTTTGGTGCTACTTACACTATTTTGGATTAATACAGACCTTATTCTTCACATTATTTCTCCCTAAGCATATAACCTTTTAGAGTAAGAAAAAAAAAAAGGAAACAGGGAAAGAAGGGAGGGGAGACAGAAGGTGTTGGTTTTAGAATATCTCTTTTAAATAGCCTTCATCAATGCAGAGCAAGATTTCAAACACATCTGAGTTACTTCCAAACCTTAGGTAACAAATTATTTTTGCAATGTATTTCAATTAGTTAAATACACAATAAGTTAAATATTCACAAAATTAAAACAAAAATTATTCCCTCCAAAAAAGGCTTTGAGACATAATCACCAATAGAAATGCCACCACCGTGAGGAAATTCAAAGTCTTCTGGAGGATCTCACTGAGATCTACAGCCTGGAATTTCTCAATGTATCTACATAATAAAGAAAACACGATTTTTCAAGTTCAAAGCCTGTGTTCTTGAACTTGTCCTACATAGAGAAATTGCTCATTTGTTAAATTTTAAAACTTCAGTATCTTTCAGAAGCATGAGATTAAATCAGAGAAAAATGAAAGAATAAATTCAATATACTAATGTGAAATCATGCAGAGGCGATGCTAAAATATATTATTCAACAAAACGAGGAAAATCACATAGGATTTGTATTATTCTTAATCTTCCACACTACTTAAGGATATAGTAACAAGGGGCTCTTTCAATATTTTCTTTGAAATGGGCAACTTGCTTTCACATAAGTTTTTTTTTCAAAGTAATCTCAATAGAAATATCTTTTGCAAATATCTTTCCCCATTCTCTAGGTTATCTCTTCACTGTTCACTGCTTCCTGTGATGTATGGAAGCTTTTTAGTCATAATCTGATTTTTCTACTTGTAGTTTTGTTGGTTGTGATTTTGGAATTTTCTCCAAAATATCCTTGCCCAAACTAATACCCTGATTTAGTTACTATTCAGTGCATACATGTATCTAACAGGCTGTACTTCCTAAATATGTGTAATCGTTATGTGTCAATTGAAAACAAAATAAAAAGTGTACAAGAAGACTATTTCTCTTTACAGGTTTGCAGCAACGAGTAGTGATTCTTATTATTGGAAAACATACCCAGATGCTCTCTTCTCGTCGATATTGCTTCCAGTTCCTCCCACTGTCACTGAACATCAGGAGGTAGCTGGTCACCCAGTCGGAGCTCCCGTATCCGCCCTGGGTGGCCACAGCCGTGACCTCCATTCTCTCTCCAAGGTCAATCTGCAGCCATTGGTATTTATTTGACACAAGTGGGGTCCATCCACCAGCTCCTTTTTTGAGGCAGAAAAAAAGAAGGAGAATGGTAAGGAGGAGGAGGAAATAACTTAGCATACCTGTTCCTGGAGTAGCAAACAGTCAGCTCAGAAGTCTACATAAACTTGAGAAAATCATAGATTCGTGTTAGAGAAAAGAAACTGGACGCGGATAGACCCTACATTGTCTTCACATTTAGCTGGATGACTCCTGCCATTCAGAAGGCCCACGGGAGTGGAGGAAGTGTCTGATGTCCTGTGGGCAGCCAGTTCATCATTCCCGTCATTCCTGGGTATCAGTTCTGTCCTCTGTCAAACACAAGAGACTAAATTCCTACAGTAAGGCACAATATTGGGCATTAAGTAAATGAAAATAGTTAAAACACAGTCCTTGCGCCCAGACTGCCTACAGTCGAAGCAGACACCAGTTCAAGGGGCTGGTGGCTGGTGGCTGGGCTCTGGGGTTAAGCACCTGTTTTGCATTCAAGAGGCCCCAAGTTAGATCTTGAGTGTCACAAAAAATAAAAGGGATTTCAAACTACAGAGTACTTGTGAACAGATCTCATTTATACATGGAATTTAAAGAAGTGGATCTCAGAGGTAGAGAAGAGAACAGGGTCACCAGGGACTGAGGGTATGTGTTGGAGAGACGATGGTAAAACCTGAAAATTAAAAATGAATGAACAGGTCCAGAGCAGAGAGTGGAGGAGGGAGTCCCCGGCAGGGCTGTGGGCTCTCTGGCTGTAGCACAGGGAGACGCGGAGAACCCCACGGAGTGCCAAGTCTGCCAGGTATCATGAGTCGAGCACAGAGTCCGCCGGGCACAGAGTCAAAATTCTGCTCTTTTTGTTTTGACAAAGGTCACACTTTTGGAACCAAGAATAGCAATGGCTGGTGAGGTCTTACTGATGTTTGTCGTTTTTCTGGTCAAATAAATAAAATGGGAGATATTTCGGAACCACTATTTCTTTAATAATCAGCATTCTGGACACTGCTATTTTCTAACTCGGGGAATGTGTCTTTTT